GAGCCACAGTGCCACTTCTGGCTTTTTCTGCTTATGTGGTGCTGAGGAATTGAACCCAGGGCCTCATGCATGCAAGGCAAGCACTCTACCACTGAGCAACCTTCCCAGCCCACAAACGAATATTTTTTTAAATCAAGCTTAAAAATTATTTTTCTGCTGCACACCATATTAAACCAGGAGAAATCAGTTGAAGATCTTATTCTTTAAAGACAAAACACTATATTTGGCAGTAATGTCCATTCAGAGCAGCTAACGATCCAATTATTTACACAGAGACATTCCTGTATACTAATTCTCTCATTGGTCATTCCTCATATGGCTATGTCAGGAGAAGTTGACACCTTCATGGACAGTTTGATGCTAGCCAGACTGGTTAACTAGAAAGAATTTCCACTGAGAATATCTTCTTTCTTCTTTTAGAAGAATAAAGTTATCTGCACTTATTTATGGTGTTGTGTTTGAGATGAGATTCCCAGAGATTAAGCTATTAGTTAATAAATAAATAAAAAGCAGCTCAACTCGAAGGATCAAAATCATTTATGGAGGTTAAGAAGAAAATAGATGTACTTAACATCTTTTCCTCTTTATATCAACAAAGATATTGGTGTTTTAGATGGAGCTAAGAATATGTTTTGGTAGCAAGAGGACCTGTCTCATAGAAACTCAGGAAAGAAAGTAGAGTTTATCTTGTGATGTGTTCATTCTTTTCTTATACTCACAGTCTAAAACAAGCATTTTAGTGTTTTACCATATTTTATCGAAATACTGAAAGTTGGAAGCTGATTTTTTAAAAAATAGAATTCCTAAAAAAGTATAACCCCCAAAAGGAGGAAAGAAGGAGTTTAGCTGAGAAATGACATCAGTTCTGATGAGACACTAGGCATTGCACAGATTTTAACACTATGGGGCACAGCCAAAGGGCAGAATCACTTCCTAGGCCAGAAATGGCTTTCTACAAAGTACAATGACTTCCCTGATAAACGGTAGCTATTTTCATTATCAAGCTAAAAATCAAAATCTTGCTGCTATCAATAGATGTAGAAATTATCAAGTAATTTAATAATTAAAAAGATATTCTTAAAGCTATGAATGTTTCTAACACTTTTCTGACAACAAAGTTCAAAGCATTAGTTTTTTGCCTAAAAATTTACAAGCACCAATAAATATGAATAATAAAATATGCAAATTTGTGCCTGGATCTTTCCTATACATCAAGAACACAGCGTTATAGAGGAAGTAGTGGATTGAAAGGCAAATGGCAAATGATGTGGTGTCTGCTCCAGGTCTCACAAAATAATCATATAATCAGGGAACATTTATATTGTTTGCCATTAGTGGCTCTTACACTCAGGGTCTTGTGCTCTCATTTAGTTTTTTGCTCAAGGCTGGTGCTCTACCACTTGAGCCACACTTCCACTTCTGTCTTTTTGGTGGTTAATTGGAGATAAGAGCCTCATGGACTTCCCTGTCTGGGCTGGTTTTGAGCCACAATATTCAGATCTCAAACACTGAATAGGATTACAGGAGTGAGCCACTAGGGCCTGGTTGGGAATCTTATTCTATAAATTTGCATTTTTTATTTTATGCTATTGTGCAAGCTAATATGATTTTCTGCTTAAAAGCAGATGACATATTTAAATGTTGTTGAAGATTAAAATAGTTATGACCTTTTTGAGATAGTCTATATCACCACGGGATTGCACATTTATAGTTTTAATTTAAAATAATGACTGAAAAGAAGTAAAAACATCTCTGTAAATGGTCTCTAAGCTACAACCTATGTCCAGGTTTTAGCCACCTCTCATATATGGAGCTGACTCACTTCTCATGACTATAGTCTTTATCTATTATTGTAAAGCTATAAACTTTATTAGATTGTACTGTGATATCTTCTTAACAGTTAAACACATCGATGGTGATCTTTAAATATTTCTGTCATGTTGATAACTTTTTAATTTATACTGAATATACTGAATATGTATATATGTATATATAGCTTAGTATATAATTTATATAGAGAATATATATACATCTATTTATATTAAATATTTTTATATAAATGTATATTTGTACATAAGTATATATAAAATATATTATATATATATATATATATTCTCACATTTAAAACTCATAATGAGAGTTGGGCACTAGTGGCTCAGGCCTGTAATCCTAGCTACTTAGGGGGCTGCAATATACAGACTGCAGTTCATAATCAGCACAGGCAGGAGAGTTCATAAGACTCCTACCTCCAAAATAAATGTTCAAAAAGTCAGAAACAGAATTGTGGCTCAAGTGAAAGAGCAGTAGTCTTAAGTAGAAAAGCTTGGGGACAAAACTCAGACCCTGAGATCAAGCCCTCGTACCAGCCTAAAACCAAAACCCTCCCAATTAGCCTAAGGACTTATTTTCAGCTTTGGATTTGTTGTTGATTGTTCATTTGTTGTTTGTTTTGTACATACTGCATCTAAATCTAAGAAAAATTAACAAGAAATGCACAGTAGATAAATGGCACAAATGGAGTCCAATTTCTGTCTTTATGACTTCAACATGCTAATTTCCCCATTACACTATGTTGTAAGGAAGGTCTAACTCAGCTGAGGGACTTGAGTAAAGACGAGCTATGCTGTACATGAGGGCTGAGGGCAGTGCACTCTTGCTTAAGGTACATCAATGTAGTATTGCTTTACAGTACTTTACTTCAATGCAAATTAGCAAATGTGTTCACCTACTTGCTGAACAGTAAGACATTGCTGCTTCAAATAATATATACAGATTGAGAGTAGTCACCACCCTAAGAATCTTGTGCTGAATTCGTTTGGGTAAGTCATCTCCAGTGGATGTTCTTAGCATCACTGCTGGGTGAATATTGTCACTGAGTAATGATGAAGAGGCAGAACTTTTACACACAGTTGACTTGGGCATAAGGTTAACCCCACCAACAACATGTAAATTCATCAAATTTCTTACCATTTTTCTTTCTTTCTCTGTCTATAAAGTAGTGATCACATTTATACTCATTGGGAGTATTGATGGAATTCTTTTATGAAAAGGAATTGGCAAAACAAAAACCTGACACATGGTAAGCACTCCAAAATCTAGTTTTATATACATAAAAGAACATATGTAGGGTGTAGTTATAAAGTTGATGTTAGGGGAATGAACCCCAAGAAAAGTATTCAAATGTTTTTATTTCCTTTTATGCAATGGTTTCTAACATATTTATAAGATGATTTCTATGTTGCTTTGTATGTCCCTCCCCCACGGTATAATCCATACTTTCACTGTATTTGATGTTGGTATAATTTGTGGAGGGGGAAGGGCAAAAACAAACTTTTAACTAGGGATACAGGTGGACCCATTGCAACAATGAGATGTACAAGTCATTATGTGGAAAAACAAACTTTACAACTTTGGTGGGGGGTGGGGGAAGGATCGAGTGGGGGTAGAGAGGAGGATGGGAAGGGATGGGAAGGGGAAACAAGGAGGAGGCTACAATGCTTGATAAGAAATGTACTCGTTATCTTGCCCATGAAACTGTAACTCCTCTGTATGGTATTCTCACAATAAACATAAATAAATATCCTCTCTCTGTTCTTTTCTAGTGCTCCCTGCTCTCTCTGCTCTCTGCTCTGGCTCTTTCTCTCTGCTCTCTCTCTCTCTCCTCTCTCTCTGCTCTCTCACTGCTCTTTTCTAGCTCTCTCTGCTCTCTCTCTGCTCTCTCCCTGCTCTCTCTGCTCTTTTCTAGCTCTTTCCTCTCTTTTTCATCTCTTTCCCAGATCTCATTCCCAGGCCTTTCCTAGCCACATGGAGTGCCAATCTTGCCTTGTCCTAGCAGGTCTACTGAATAAACCTACCCTTTAAAAAAATAAAAATAGAAAAATAAATAAATAATGTACAAAAGAACTGCAATAATCTTCAATAAAGACCAGAAAAAAATAAAATCTATTATATATAATGTATCATACCCCATCTATATATTTTTATAGTTAAATGGATAGACAAACTAAAAAGCAGACATGAATTAGTAGATCTAAAATAAAACATTGTTTCAAGATTAGTTCCTAAATGGAGATACAACACATAGAAAGTGAAGAAAAGGACACCTTTTAAAATTGTTAAAAAGTGATAAATTGGGAACATAACATACACAAACACTTAACTAACATGATTCAAATTAAGCCTTCTTTGGACAAGAAAAGTTTAGAGTAAATATTTGTGTGTGTGTGTGTGTGTGTGTGTGTGTCTGTGTGTGTGTGTGTGTGTGTGTGTATGTGTGCTAATCCCAGGGCTTGAACTCAAGGCCTAAGGTCCCTTAACTATATTGTTCAAGGCTACTTCCCTACTACTTAAGCTACTGCACCACTACCTTTTTGGTGGTTGGATTTGAGTCTCACAGAGTTTCCTACTAGGGCTGGCTTTGAACTGTGATCCTTCGTTCTTGGCCTCCTGAGTACCAAGGATTAAAAGTGTGGACTAGGGGCACCCAGGAATGTTAAATTTTGAACAGCTATTTACCTTAGAATGTTGTTGCAAAGTGAGAAAAACTGCCACAGGCCGGGGTGGGCAAAGCGTTTTGGTAAACTTAGTAAGAATCAATATTAGCTTGGTGGGTCATGAGATCTCTGTTGCTATCTGAAGCCCACCACAGCAGTGCAGAACCAGCCACACAGGGCACAAAGCAGTGGGCATGGGTGTGGTTCAATCATACTTCATTTACAAAAGCAGGATCTGGGCCAAATCAGGTCAGCAAGTAGCATTTTTCTTAGCACTAATCTAGGTTATAGAAGGATTTTAACACAGCTCTAAGGCTTAGGCAAACACTGACTCCTTTTGCAGGAGCAGAAAATGATCAGAGATGAAATGTGGGCTATTTGGGAATTTGTGGAACATAAGCACTGGAAGACAAACTGCCATTTATAGGGTGACTGGGTTAGGGAAATGGAACATTATGCCATAGACAATTGGAGTTGGGAGATTATTGATTGACTGATTATTGATTGACATTCAATCATCGATTGACTGATTTATTGATTGATGTGTGTCAGTGCTAGGGCTTGAACTAAGCTCTTGGACATTGTCCTCTAGCTTCTCTTGCTCAAAGCTGGGACTCTACCACTTGAGATACAGCTCCACTTCTGGCTTTTTTTTTTTACTGGTTAACTGGAGATAAGAGTTTCTCAGCTTCTCCAGCCTGGTCTGGTTTTGCACTGCAATCCTCAGATCTCAGCCTCCTCATTGTCTAGATTACAGGTTTGAATTACTGCTGTGGTTGGCTAAATTGGGAGACTCTGAGAGGAGGGAGCGCATCGTTGGTAAAATGGAGCCAGTGGGTGTAACTTCAAACAATTTTGTATTGTAGCCATGGACTCTCCAAGCACAGAATCTGCCTTAATCTCCTCTAAATTACTACAACATCTAGAGATAATCATTTGTCCCTATTCAGCAATTAGTAATTATTTAAGTCCACACTGCTTGATTATATGACTCAACTTGCAACATGCAACTGGAGATTTTGGACCAAATCTCAGGTTATGGATTTCATTGTCTGTATTTTGCATAGGGTGTTTCTAGGCCTTTTGAGGTTTATCCTTAGGAAAATTTCGACCATGCCTTACTCCTGGATATGCTAAGCTAAATAACACACAGGCTTATAGATGACAATGGACAGAATTTCTCTGAGTATCAGACTAATTTCTGTCTATAGTCAATGTTTGAATTCTATTGTCCTCTAGGAGGGGAAAATCTCACTTAGAGCTAGGCCCTGGCCTCTGAAGAGAGCTGGTGTGCTATTGTTTTTCCTTTCACAATGACTGTAAACAACCCTTCCAGATTTCTTTCCTATATCTCTGGCCAGCCCTTCCGAACTCCCTCCACAGGTTTTCCTTTGGGGGAAAAGAAACTGCCATTTACTTATTGAAAAAATTTTAAGAACAAACTCTAGTCTCTTTTTCTCATTACACTTTCTTCTAATGTATTTCATTCAATTCCCTGGTTTTAAATGTCCTCTAAACACTGATGACTCCTCTGTCTCCCCTCTCTTCTCTCCTGTTGTCTTTTTCTCTTATCTCTTCTCATCCTTCTCTCCTCTCTTCTCATCTTTCTCTCCTCCTTTCCTCTCTTCTCCTCTTCTCTATGTGTTTCTACTCACTCCTCCTCTCCTCTCCACTTTCTCTCCCCTTCCTTTTTTTCTCATCTTCTTCCTCCTCCTCCTTCTCTTCTTCCTCCTCCTCCACATTATCCTCCTCTACCTCCTCCTCCTCCTCTTCTTCTCCTCCTCCTTCCTCTCTCTCCTTCTCTCTATCCAGTTCAGATGCAGAAAGTTTATGTATTTCCATAGTTTTTTAAACACCCCAATGGTTTCCTACTTAAAGTTAAAATCCTAATTCCTCACCATATGGTCTGTATGATCTGGCAGTCTCTGGTCTCTCTCTGTCCCCTTTCTCCTTTGTATCCAGATACTCTGGCTTTCTTAGATAAAAGCACCGAGCTCATCGCTCACCCTTCCTGATACTTTAACTTAAAGATCACTACCTTGGAGTGGTATCATTTATTAGGATCTGTGTATGTCATCCCCAATTCACTGATTGTTAATTGAGAATTTAATAGCTGATGTGATAGTAGTAAGAGACAAAGTTTTAGGCTGTGAATAGGTCAGGACAGCAGAGCTTGCATGGGTCAGTTAAGGTCTCTCACAAAGGGATTTGAATGATTCGATTTTCTACATGTGAAGACACTGCCTTTGCTGGGCACTAGTGGCTCACACCTGTAATCTTAGCTCCTCAGCAAGCTGACATCTGAGGATCACTGTTTGAAGCCAGCCTGGGAAGGAAAGCCTCTGAGACTCTTATCCAGAAGTAGAGCTCTAGTAGTAGAGCACCAGAGCAAAACATGATAAAGGAGAGTTCCCAGGCCTTGATTTCAGCACCAAAAAGAAAAAGAAAAAGGAAAAAATAAACTAAGACATAGACTGCATTCCTGTAGAGGGTGCAGTAAAAAGACATCACCTTCACAGCAAAAGCAACTCTGTCTATACATTAAACTGACAATACTTGCCCTTCAATTCCCAACAAGCAATAAAGCTATGCTACTTACTAAGGACTTAGTTTTCATTTCTAAGATCTCTTCAATGCACTACTGTACTGGGATGGGCCAGTACAGTGGAGGGGATCAATAACACTTGCCTCAGGGCCTGCCATGAGGGCATTTATAGAGATGATATGTCCTGAGGGCTCAGACCTGACCAATGGCTTCTTGCATTCAGAGACAAACAAAACTGTGCCAGAATGTTTATATGGGATGGGTCTGTGGAAGGGGAATGTCTTCACCTTAACTCTGAGCCCAGTCCAGGACTTCTTCCTGCATCCTGGCTGCCATGCGATGGTCAGGCTCCTCTTTCACAAGCTCTAGCCACCATGATGCTCTAACTTTGATTTTAAGAACACAGAACCACTGCCCCACAGACTGAGGCCATGGAGACCATAAACCAAAACAAATTGTTCCCCTAGTGGAATTCCTTCAGGTATTTACACAGCAAGAATGGCAAAAACTGATGAATATGACACCAACCATAAGATCAAATCTAAAAGCTTTCTTTGATAGTATCTATTTTTATACCCTGTTTTATTTAGTTTTTATTATTTTGTTTTATTCCCAGACTATCATCATTATCTGAAACCATCCTATTTATTTGCATTTGGTTTTCTACCTTACAAAGAATGATGTGGTGAAGACAGCAGATATCTTATCATGCTTGGCACATGCTTTTGTCAATAAAGTCAGAAAGTGTTCATTAATTGAAAGAAAAAAGACCCCAGGCTTCCTACTTTAACTCAGTCATCTTTGCCAATAGCAAAACACTAATTAAAGATGGTTTTCTGAGATGACTTTCTTAATTGGAAATTAGTAGCAAGGAACAAAACCACCAATCAAGTTGTTACAATATTCATTCATGTTCCACGTTTGACTACAATTACCCTACTCTCTTCAGATAATGCTCTACTTTGAACTTTCTCACATTTGAACTTAAGTAACACCCACACACAACACACACCAAAGATGTGTGTGTAAAAATGTTTATATTATTGATATTTTCCCTAGAAAATTGGAAAATCTGTTTTGTGTGTGTGTGTGTGTGTGCCAGTACAGAATTTTGAATTCAGGCCTTCAAACTGTTACTTGTTTTTTTTTCCCTCTAGTCTTGAAACTTTTTTGCTCAGGCTGGCCTTGAACCATGATCCTCAGATTGCAGCCTCCTGAGCAGCTAGCAGTGCAGCAATGAGCCACAGGTGACCAGATTGGAAAATCTTATCTTGTAAATTCAGAAGGCATGCAGAAGAAGACAAACTAGTTCAATCAACTGAAATAATTCAGCTGCTTTACCATTCTCTAAATAATCCTCAACATTAAGAGCATTTACATAGAGTAAAATAAACTTTTACACTAAGAAATATTCTTATTAGGTTTAACAGTAAATGGTAAATAATTGGTTGTCCCATAAAGAGTTAGATATATTTTGCCTCACAGTGACTCTGGGCTGGTGATGGTAGCTTTGCCCAATTATCATTGTGAACTTGACACGAGGTGACTTGTGAACCTGACACACCCTGGCTGCATTTCCTAGACAGCACACTCACTGGGTGCAGAGGCCACTGATGAATGGAGAAACAAACAGTTACCCACACCTGTGATCGAGTTACTCAAGAGGCTGAGAACTAGATCACAGTTTCAAGTGAGCCTAAGAAAGGAAAGTCTATGAAACTCTTATCTCCAATTAATTATTAAAAAGCCAGAAGTGAATCTCTAGCTCTTGCTTTGAGCAAAATAGCCAAGGGAGAGCACCTAAGCTCTTGGGCTTAAGCATACCATGAGCACACATGTGAATACACACACACACACACACACACAAAACAATGTCCACAAAATCAAATGCACTGACCTTATGACTGCATTTGTTGATGCATCTGCATCTGAAGCATTTACCAATAACACATCGGTTCCAGTGGGTGCATCTTCAGAAATCTCTGTGAAATACATTTTGCTGGCAAAAGTGGGGACATTGTCATTGATGTCATCTATGATGACATTGATTGTTCCAGTTCCAGTCAGGGCAGGGGATCCTAGAAAGAAAAGAAAATCAACTCTTAGCCCTTTATGAATAGTTCACTATAGACAGAATTCCAGAAGAGATTTCTGGAAACATCCAAGCAAAATTTTTGAACACCTAAGACAAATGACTGAGTGATTTTTTTTTAAACTTCCTCTACAAGAACAAGATTTTCCTTGATAACCTATGATTTGAACTTTGCTGAGCCCGCTCCAGAAGCGAACATTGGTGCTCTCTCATGAAGGGTTGATTTGACAATATGGTGTGATAGTATCTTTAAACACATTAACCACAAAGGAGATACTAAATCACAAAGAAGACACTACTGGCCATTTCTCTGAAATGACATAAAGAAATGTAGAACAGACCTACAGCAACCCAGGACTTGGAACAGCTGGCCAACCAACTAAGTGTTGTTGACAATCCTTTTACTATTAGAATTTCCAAAACAACCTCTGATGGGGTTAAATCTCATTTTCTGTGTTCTATTTGTGTTAGTTAGAGAAAAAAGATTTGTGTTATATCTCCATATTGTAATTTCTCCAACTTTTGACTATATGTTTACATCAATGAGTTGACATAGAGGCATTATTGCACGTATTTCATACTTAATGAAATAATTCATTTTACTTTCAGCTTTAGATATGTTGTTATCGATGACACATAGTTATAAATCCAACATTTAACAAAGCTTGGAGCTTACTCTCCATAAACACAATGTTAGCCGATTCATTCTGTGGTGAAGGCCAGACTGCATTCATATTTGGCGAGAATGCTGTGGGCTGTCCTCGTAACTACAGGGAAAATTACATCCTTGGGTTGTGTGCTCAAAACCATTCATGAACCTTAACCCTTCAAAGTTAAAGCAGTGAAAATGCATTCAGTTGCACTTGTCTAAATTAAAATAAAACCCAGATACATTCTTTTTCTCTTTGTGTTGATATTTTACCTTCCATAGAGTTTTTTCTCTTTATGGAAAGCTTCAATCTTACTTATTTCTACCACTTTGTTTCCTATAAAGCCATCCATTCATGCATCTGTAAGGTGCTTATAAAATAAATGTTCTTAACACAGAACAATGCTGAGATCCACAGCCTTCCAAAATGGTTATTTTTCTGATAATTTTGTGATTTTCTGATGCTTCTGTTGCCACTACTCAAACATTTTTTTTCTAATTGTAGATTGTAGTTACTGATAGCAAAATACCAATCACCTTTTGTGTTCAGATGGATATGAAGCTGAAGCCACATCCTAGAAAAGTACAGAGCAAAAGGTTGGGGTGATCAAGGGCATGAGTGATGTCTACAATGCTGGAACCTCAGATTTTACACCAGAGATTTTATATCAGCTGAGGTGAATACTGTCAAAAGTAGATATTTGTGCAACTAAACTTAGGTTGCAGGTTAATCATTTTGTGTGTATATGTGTATATACATCGTGATCATATATAGAGAGATATATGTGTGAATAAAATTATCAAGTTAAAATGCTTCACATTCCTGCTAGGTGCTGGTGGCTCACACCCGTAACCTAGCTATTCAGGGGGCTGAGATCTGAGGATCATGATTCAAAGCCAGCATGGACAGGAAAGACCACGAGATTCTTACCTATAAGAGAAAGCTTTTCTTACCACAGAAAAAGCTGGACATGGCGCTGTGGCTTTTCTTACCACAGAAAAAGCTGGATGTGGTGCTGTGGTTCAAGTGGTATAGCACTAGCCTTGAGCAAAAAGGAGCTCAGGGACAGCACCCAAGCCCAGAGTTTGAGGCCCAGGACTAGTTTTTTTAAAAAAGCTTCAAAATGCTTCTATTCCTCTCAGTTGGTAGTATACTTTTTTAGAAAGGAAAATAGTTTAAAATAGTTTAAAGTAGTCTCTCTCTCACTCCCTTTTTTTTGTCCGTCATGGGGCTTGAACTCTGGGCCTGGGCACTGTCCCTCAGCTCTTCAGCTCAAGGCAAGATCTCTATCACTTGAGCCACAGTACCACTTCTGGTTTTCTGGTGGTTAATTGAAGATCAGAGTCTCACAGACTTTCCTGCCTGGGCTGGCTTTGAACCACGATCCTCAAATCTCAGCCTCCTGAGTAGCTAGGATTACAGGTGTGAGCCACCAGCACCAGGCTCATGTTCTATTTTAATTGTATAGACATCTGTTTTTATAGCTCTCAAGATATTTCTTACCTCAACCTTTCGACCCAATCCTATAACAATATTGTCTAGGAGGTGGTTCTAAATCACAATATATCTTAGGGATCACATTGTAGTATCTGAGTTTCATTCACACAAAAAATGCAATTCTTCCCCCATAGTATAACCCTTGTTTTCTTGGTATTTGATGTCTGTGCCCTGCATCTTTTATATACATTTTTCTAATTAGGGGAGGGGAAGGGAAATAACAAAATGCTGAAACAAGGATACAGGTTGACCCATTTTAACAATGAGATGTACAAGTCACTATGTAGAAAACAAACTTTCCAACTTTGGGGGAAGGGGGGGTATTGGGGAGGTGGGTAGGAAAGGGATGGTAGGGGGAAACAAAAGAGGAGGTAACAATGCTCGATAGGAAATGTACTCATTACCTTACTCATGTAACTGAAACCCCTCTGTACACTATTTTTACATAAAAAACATTTAAAATTGCAAAAAAAATCTTCAAAATTTTATAGAAAATAGGCTGAATCAGAAAATTTTCAAATGAAAACTTTAAAAATTTACTGCAGAAGCCACATGAACTCAGGAGGCTGAGATCTGAGGATTAAGATTTGAAACCAGTTCTTTGAGGAAAGTCCATGCATTTCTGGTCTCCAACTAATAAGCACAATCCCAGAAATGAAGGTGTGTTTGAAGTGGTAGAACACCAACCTTGAGTCAAAAAGCTGAATATTTCTAATAGGCATATTATTCTCAAATTCTCAATGCTTAGACTTTTTGTTTTTGTTTTATATTTTAAAAAAAAGATCCCCATGATGGCACCAGTAGCTCACACCTATAATCCTAGCTACTCAGGAGGCTGAGATCTAAGCACCAAAGTTTGAAGCCAACCCAGACAAGAAAGTCTTTGAGACTCTTATCTCCAATTAACACCAAAAAATAAGAAAACAAAAAACAAAAACAAAAACAGAAGCAGAGCTATGGCTCAAGTGACAGATTGTAGTTTTTAGCCAAAAAAGCTCAGAGACTGCTCCCAGGGCCTGAGTTCCTTGTGTCTAAGTGTCTGCCACACACATGGAAAACCATGCATCTAGATGAGTAACAGTATGTTAGCCAGGAGCACGTGGCTTCCTTGTCTGCAGTTTGTGGCCCTTTGTTGTTGATGGGTTTTTCTGAGTTAGTAAGCAAACAGGAACATTTGGGGTTTACACAGAAAATTTTTCCACAAGTTTAACATCACTGTCTTCATACCAAAAATGATCTTCTTTTTCCAGATAAGTTTTAAAGTAACCAGGAGCCACAGATGATCCTGACATGAGATGTGACCACAAAGGGTCCAAAAAATTTTTTGTCTATAAAAGCTGAATATTGAGGCTGGGAAGGTGGCTTAGTGGTAGAGTACTTGCCTAGCAAGCATGAAGCCCTGGGTTCAATTCCTCAGTACCACAAAAAAAAAGCCAGAAGTGGCACTGTGGTTCAAGTGGTAGAGCACTCGTCTTGAGCAAAGAGAGCCTCTAGGACAATGCCCAGGCCCTAAGTTCAAATCCCATGACTGGCAAACAAACAAACAAAAAGCTAATAGGCTTTATTATTCTCTGATTTTCAGTGCTTACATTTTTTTTTTTAAAAAGCAATGTAGCGCTGACCCTCAAGCCAAAAACGTTCCCCAGAATCCCTCATCCACAATTACTAGCTCCTGTCCACGTGGTATGCACCTCCAGAACACATGGACAGTATGGTGCAATTTCTATAACCATCTTGACTCTATTCTTTCCACTGATATACCCATAATTCATGTTAATTATTCAAGGAAAAACTTACAAAATTCACCATAAATTTCTAAGTCTTTGATGAGATTTAACTAAGCTCCACTTCTGGCTTTTTTGAAGTTTATTGGAGATAAGAGTCTCATGGACTTTGCTGCTCAGGCTGGCTATGAACAGTGATCCTCAGATCTCAGTCTCCTGAGTAGCTAGGATTATATGCATGAGCTACCAGTGCCTAGCTCCAAGTCTGACTATTTAAAAAAGTGTTTCTGAATTTATGAGTTCAGATAAAACTTTTCTAGATGTTTCAGCCTGAATTATTGTCAATATTATATTTCTGACATAAATCTATTAAGTTGTAAGCTAAATGTGAGCAGGAATAATTCTGTTTAATTTATCTTTGCAAAAACCTACAATCCATGCCATTAGAGTCAAGCATCATCTATGTCCTTTCTTTCATTGGACATATGGAAATTGGGTCTGCTGACTACAGAGATGAAACCCCTTGAAATACACAATCTGGGAACATAGGCCGTAGCCTAAGGCTGGGGTCTGAAAATAAAGCAAAGGTCAAAGTTTTGGAGATACAACAGCTACTTTGAAACAGAAGGTCTCAATTAATCATGAATCCCATGAGGAGATGAAGAAAACTAAGCGCCAATGTTCAGCATAAGGACATGTGATAATGATGAATGATGTAGGTAGTGTTATAATGGGGAAAGACTTTTCAATTTCATCTGGGATTGATTGATGAGAACCAGATGCAGCCAAAGAGAAGTGTGTATAAAGACACAAGACTCACACACTCCTAGAAGAGGATAGTGAGGTTCTCAAAGGGACAGATGACATACAAGGGCAAGGACTCAGAGATGGATAATTACACAGTAGAACATGGTAGATGATGAGAAGTCATCAGAATTACAATCATCATTCAAAAGCCAGCCGTAATTAGTCACTGAAAGGTAGAGAGGGAATTTTAAATTTTCAAATTTGACTTCGTAAAATTATACATAATTTTATATTTTATACATTTATATACTGTATATATAAATATATGAAATATTTACATATTACATATAAATAAATGTATTTTATAT